AAAGCATTACAAGGGGGTCCTGCCTAATATTCATAACGCAAGGAGTTTTTTAGAAGTTCGATATAACATGCAGGGGTACTAAACGTAATAAACCCCAAATACTTCGGATATAGTATTCGAATTAAATAATAACCTCTTCGATTCTTTTGAGAAGTTGTTGGAAGCTTGTGTTAGAGAACGCTCTCAATGTGCCACCAAACTCGACCCGAAATGGCATCTCGTCGGTATCGTTTCCACTATTCATGAAAGTCACAGATACTACCTAAAAATCAAATAAAAAATTCCTAGTTAAGCTACTATACCATAAAGAATAAAATAATAAATATAAAATGATATTCGGATTGATGATTAAATAATGTAGTGAGAAGCTACCTGAGAGTCTAACGGATTGGATTCTCGAGAAACAATGCCTTGCAAACTGATGACTGCAGCTGAGGCGGCCAAGACTGTGTCGGGAGAGCGATGGAGAATATTCCGGGCGGGGCTCGTTTGACCGGTTATGACAGCCTTGAAGAATCCACAGCCCGCGAGTAACGGGCCGGATCTTGACCCGATGACAGCTGTAGGGAGAAGATGAGATACATGCAAAGCGAATATAGCTTCGACATTTTCAAGAGCACCCTCTTCAATCATTTTCTTTGCTCCGTTTCCAGCTTCCTCTGCTGGCTGAAACACGAGTACCACAGTTCCCTAATCACGATAATTAAGCATCGTTAGTGTCATAATTAGCAATGTTAATTAATAATTCGTCTGTTGTATAATAATGCAATGTGAAGAAAAGGATATGAAAGAGAAATATCCTTAATTATATATATTATCTTTCTGGTCGAACCCTTAGCTTTACGAACTCTTATCTCGTGACCTTTAATTTTTTTTTTGTCATGTTAATAAAGCAAAGTGGCTCCACAAATGCTGGCTACAAAGACATTTCTAATAATATTAATTTCGGCTAGTAAAAAACAGGGACATGCATATTCAACGATTATATCCACATCGATGAGTG